GATAGATAGATAGATAGATAGATAGATAGATAGATAGATAGATAGATAGATAGATGTTACTGCATTTACCCCAATTCATTACCATGCGTTGTTTTGTATTAGTTCATTGTTGAGAAACGGAACTAGTTCGCCGACGTCTGTGACTTGCGCTTAGGCACTTCGTTTTCGCTCACAAAAGACCTGAGAATTTTTTAATAGAGTATCTCGGTCTTTCTGCTGGGATTGTGTATACCTCTCAGCACCAGTTGTCCTTGATATGTAGGGTCGGAAGCTCACCTCTGTGTGGCCTAAATTGTGTCAGTTTAAGAGGGGGGGGGGTTAAAACACCTAGATCTACATTTAAAAGAAAAGTCAAGTTTTAAAATGTCAGCTAAAAAATAATAATTCGGTACAATATTCTTCGACGTGCATCTGCTTTTGGAATTTGAGAAAAGTCTGTAACGACAACAGCAGCAACAGCAGCAACAACATCAATAAGAACAACAACAGAAACAAAAACCGCAAAAAATACCCATAAAAGATCTTTAAAAACTAAGTGACCAATGCCATCACCACCCGCAGCAAACAATATCTACAACAACCACAACAGCAGCAACGGCGACAGTAACAACAACAACAACAACAACAACAACAACAACAACATTTAAACCGCTGCCACTACCACCACCACCACTACCACCACCAAACGACAACAACTACAACATTTACTAAAGCAAAGACAACAACAAAAATAACAACAACAAAACCACCAACACAACCACCTATGGCAACAACAAATTCAATATTTGGAATTGAAAAAAAAAACGAAACAAAAAAATCTAAGAATAATATGAAGCCTTACCTGCTAGCTTTTACCGCGTCAGAAAAAGAAAAAAAAATCCCCACACAAAAAAATCTCGTAATTTCCTCCTGAAAATGACAAAAATTTCGTAATTTCCTCGGGCGAAAAGTGCGTAGAATCTATATCCAGGAAGAGATGAAGAGAAACATTCCGTAATTTCCTTGTTGTGCGAAAAGTGCGTGTATCTGGAATCTGGACAGAGGTACAGTAGAAGAGCTTGTGGCATTGACGTTACCCACGTAAACGAACGGGGGCTGCGTGTGCCCACTCTGGAACGCCGAGCGTTGAGGGAAAGAACCAGCGCAGTCCAACAGACGGGCGAGTGCGTTTATGAGACTTTCGATGTGGAGACGTCTATTGTCTATAGCTTGTTCACTTTCGTCTGGTCGCGGTTTTAAAACTCGATTAAAAAACAAATCTCTTTGTTTCATCTTCTCAGATCTTTGCAGCGTGCAGTGGGTCTAAAAGGGGTGTGACCAGCAGAATCTAATATCCCGTAGGTTACCGCAAACTGGGGTTCCGGCACGTTTTCTCTCATGTTAACATAGAGTAGATTTTTAAGAATAATAGAGGGTTTACAGTACGCACTTGAAACATCAAAATGTTGACAAATTTCCTTCAACACCACTTTACGCATGCATTTGAAACACGTTCCTAAAGGGAGGTGAATACTTTTCGAGAAGCATGAAGAGACGTCAAGACGGTCTTGGGAGGAACTCTACAAGCTTATGCAATGTTCACACATACAGGAGTAATGAAGCCAAGTAAGACCACATTTCTAAGTCCAGCAGGTCGGGGCTACTCTGGATACATTCAGCCGAGCAATCGGCCGCCCTCATCGAGTGATATTTCATGCTCACGGTGTGAAATTATTACACGAGAAGCTTGCCGGAATTTTCAAACATGCTTAAAATTTTCTCCGAACAAAAAATGAGTCGCCGAGTCAATAACTCGCTCGGGGAAAATTCGGGGAGGACTCGGGGAGGACTCGGGGAAAACTCGGAGAGGATTCAGGGGGTGTCAGAAATGGCTCGGCGTGCAAAGTTGAATACTTTGCCGAGTTACAGTGACACGCCGACGAGATCTGAATGGTTGCCGTGTTAAATTTCATACTCTGAGGGTTAAATTATTGCTCGTCGCGTAAAAAAATGTAGCACGAGGAGTCTAAGTTACTCAAGCACGGCGTGCAAAAGTTGACACGACGAGCATGTGCCGTGACACGGCAACCTTCGCACCCTCACCATATAAACGCACCGTACACTACTGTCCTTGCCATCATCTACAAATCGACCATCTACTAACGTTATTATGCCTCCGATGTACGCATTCATCGTCATAATATGAGACACATACATTTTAAAGGAATTAGTACAAACATTTTAAACCCCCCCCCCCACACACACACACTCTTTAGATATTTTTACATTGCACTCCGAATTACTCGGCGACGGGTCGGCAAGATGGTCTGCATGGTCGGCGAATTTGTCGACGTGAAAAATTTTTACTCGGCCGCTATGTTTCTTGGCTCGGCAAGCGGCCAGGATTCACCTTAAATTTCTCGACAAGACGCTCCGCGAGATGCTCACCGTCCTAAATTATTGCTCGGCGAGTGTCTCCCAAAGTTATTGCCGACGCAATAATACCAACAGTCATGGCCAGATGCTCGTCACGATCAAACCCGAATTTGGCATTATCTTATGGGGAATAACTCGTCCACTCTTCTCCTGTATGTGTAAACACAAACACCGCATTACATTGAAATGTGTGTGTGTGTGTGTGTGTGTGTGTGTGTGTGTGTGTGTGTGTGTGTGTGTGTGTGTGAGGAGGGGGGTTGGTTTATTTTCGGTAAGTGTTTTACGGCGCTCGCAACTGCTTAAGGTATGAGCGCGCGGGACATTAAACATTTTGATGGGAAATTTTAAATATTTTGCCCGGGTGGCGCAGAAACCTACTCCTGTCGATTTTTGGACCACCAAGGGATCGTAAACAACAATGTGCAGCTTGCTCACGGAACTTCCGAGATTTTTCGCCCTTATCCGAAAAGGCTAGGTCTTAGATCTCACCGACCATAAGATCAGGGGCGTGGCTGAAAGATAACAGTAAGAAGATGCCAAGGAGCTGCAGTAAAAAGGCTGCAGAAAGAGATAGGAGCCCAGAGGAGGGGCAAAGGAGGTGAGGCGGTGGGGGCAGAAAGTGGAGACGAAAGCAGACGACAGAACATTGTTGGAGAGCAGGAACGGAGGTGAAAGGAGAAAAATTTAGGTAAGAAAATGTTCCTTCGCTATCCGGATTCGAACCCGGAACCTATTGAATGAGAGGCAAATACCTAAACCTCCAGACCACGAGAGCCCCTCATTGAAGTGTGTATGTGTGTGTGG